TTTTTTGTTAAATTTTCCATATCAAACCACGCCTACGCACACCACATGCCATTGTAGAATCACTATCAGAATACATACCTTCTCACGTACCTGTAATGTATTAACACATGTAAGTATGTTTGTACTTGGCACTTATGTATTTCCCTTTTTAATAAGGAAGCATTTAATTTTTTTTCTACATACATGCTTGTTTATGTTACGCATTTTCTGTGCGTCTGTCTAATACAACCCGCCGCTTTCTTGTTTTTAATTGATACAAGTTTGTAACAATCCCAAAGGTTGTTCTGTTCGACGGTAGATGCTATTCACTACACAATTCGATATGATTACTCACGTAATTGTTGCACATGGCGCACCTGCAACCAATGTGGTTTTTATGTCTGCGTTTCTTTCTTTTTATTTGTAAACAATAAGAAAATTTAAACTCGGCAATGAAAATAGTCATTAATTTTCTCGAGGTTTTATGATTTTTTTTCATTTCGTTTATGAAGCACCAATAGTGGCCGTGGCATCAGCCATTTTTGGTAAAATTTGTTTGCATTTTAGCTTTGGATATTTAAGAAAAGAAGATGGTGGTTTCATTTCGGAAGGCAAGCGTCAGCTCATAGGATATAAAAGTAAAACTAGAACGATTTTACGCAGGTGTATCAACTTTATTTCCTCTTTCCCCTTTCAAAATACTAAACAGTAATAACTGGTCTTTAAATTTTAAGTTTCTTGTGAAGACAATTTCACTAGATCGAACGTTCTGTACTAACAAAATAAAATTTAGTTTTGGCGATTAATCCTAAATTAATTTCGTTTTGTGTCCAGATTTCCTTTCGATTTTCTTTTAATTCAGTTATTCTCTTTACAAGACGTTTCGCCATGGAATTGAAATCGCCAAGCAAGTTTGTTTAAACCACAAAAGAAAGGTTAGCCTATAAACCTAATTCTGGTTCTACCCAGTGATGGTCAGTTTCACAGGAGATGCTCTACGCTTGAGTCTATTAGGCGCACCTGCAGATCGGGTTGTCTTTTCCTCTGTCAAACGACTGTAGCGTCTTCCAAGCTGATGTTTATGCTTTAAAAAAGTTAGTAAGACTTCTACTAAAACGATGTGCACTAAACTCAACATATCTGCAGTAAGAGTTCTTACCGGTGTCATCAGAGGACATTGTACTATTGCATCGTTGCACCAACGATGGCGAATACCACCGAGTTCGCTCAGCGAAAACTACCACGAGAGAATATGGACGATAGAATTGACCACTTTTTGTATCGATGGCCAGACCTGAAGTGAAGGAAACTCAAAACAGCTGCGGTTATGCTTCTTTACCAGTCTGGCAGATATAGCTGCCGTTAAACTTTTAGACCTCCTCAATTATATTTGGGATATTTAGTGACTCAACAGGTTTTTGCCGTGATTAGTTTTTATTGTTTCCAATGCAGGAGAAGGCAAAGGCTCAATACCATTAACATTCTTTTTTATTTAATTTTTTATTCAATCATTTTGCAGCTATTTTTTTATTCGGATTTGAATCAAACTTTTCAATTATTTTCTTCAAAATTATCTCGCGCTGTTCGTTAGTTCAGAAAGTCTTTCCTCTCCTTATTGTTGTACTTCTGGGTATGCAGTTTCAGTTGCACCGCTCTACTACTCGTGAGAAACCTCGGCTCACGGCAGAGAGGGAAGAGGCTTCGGTGGGGCCATTCCAACTTATTCGGTTTAAAGGCTTACTAAAGTTAGCATGCATCTACTCAGCAGTGAGTTGTGCACTGGGTTTGGGACCCGTAAGGTAGAAAACAGATCCCTTGGAAAATCCAAAACCACCTCGGCTAATTGCCCCTCCAAACTTTCACGACCCATCACTCTAAACAAGGACTACGCTTTACGGAAATGCGCCTGGAGTGTGCTCACTCTCTGAAGGAAAAGTGCCTCCACCCAAGTGCTTGTTTACCTAGAGAAATACCCCGCTGACATCACCACCGTACTGGAAATGCGATGGACGGGCATGATTGCCATGAGACGGCGCAGAAATTTGGTGTGGGATCTGTAGTTGGGCGGAGTCCCCGACGGCTTGTAGCCATAAGTGAACGAACGCCCGACAACGGAGAAAGGGTCATCTACTTTCGCGCAGCACAGAACATGGTAGTCATAAACGACACCCGAAAGCTTTCGCAATCAACTTTGAATCCTACTTAAACAGGGAACTTCTCATTGACCGGATAAACATACATAAATGAGCAGCGGGAATCGATCTCCCACTCTCATCGTACCGCTGCGGTTGGCTACTATGTATCATCCATCCACTGGTACAACGAAAAGTGATGTGCAGCTGCTGCAGATAAATACGCATCTGTAAGCTTTAGGGACAGCTGCCCCTTCCCCTTCTTGGCTACACCCTGCTCACTCAATGTAGCTGACCCAAATCTTTCAAAAATAAATATAATCCATTATTTCATCAATTTTGGTATAGCAAGCCTTAAAAACACCAACAATTTAACTACTTTTTCAGAGATTTTGTCCGCTTTTTCTTTTAAAAACTTTCATAAACAAAAAATCGTAGGTTATGTAAGATGTATGTATTTTTTTTAA